GGGGGGGGGGGGGGGCTAGCTCTGAATTTTTTTATTGCTCAATAATAGAGCAAATTTATTGGGCTGTGGAGATCTCTAAACCTGAGGGCATGTAGGGGTCTTGCTGTCAGCAGCAGGAATGTTTGCTCAGGATCTGTTTGCTCTCTGCCTGGGAGAAGCAGCTGCCCCTTGCCTCCCTGGTGGGATGCTTGAACCTGTTGCTGAGGAGAACTCGGTTCTACATGGAAACAAAGCAACCTGTGTGATGTAAAGGCATGACAAGCTACGGGATTAGTGCTTTTCTTCATTTAAACAGGGTTTGTTACAGGTCCTTCTTTTTTCTCCCAGTCCTTCTGTTGGCCAGCAGGATTGTACCGTGCTCCAGCATAATGCATCATGCTGTTTTGCAAAGGCTTGTAGCCCCCTGGTGAAAACAGCTCTTCAGTGCCTTTCTTCTGAGGCTTGTTTCTGTGTTTTCTGGTTCATGTAACTGGAAGCCTGCAAAATTTCAGCACTTCCAGTCACTTTCTTTCTGGAAGAGAGCTGACAAGTGGTGGATGCCCTGCTTTGTGAGCAAGCCTGGTGTCAGAGAGAATCTTGATCACTTTGCTTGTCCTTTAGCTTCTTAGAGAGCCCAGTGTTTGTCAGGAATACCAAACTGAATTTGTGTTTACCTTCTGAGTTAACAAATTCCAACCACAACAGGCTGAAGTCTGCAGCTAACGCTGCCCAATCTTCCTGCCAGTTCCGAAGCGTCAGAGTTTCCTACTGGCAAAAGGTGAAGGCTCTGGACTCTGTTGCCCGTGGTGCTTGGATGTTCTTGGCATTAACTGGCTGCAGCCTCTGCTGAGTAATGAAAAGCAGAAGAATAATGTGCAGGCTCAACCCTAAAATTGTAGACATGGCGAGCTGGAGCAGAGCTGTTCTTGAACTGCAGCAGTTCCAAAATCTGTCCTTAAAAACGGGTTGGGAGAGGGTACAAAAGTTCAGGACACCAATCTTCTTCCAGGTTGTGTCCTGCCCCTCTGCGGCAGTGAATCAGTGTGAGGGATGGAAGTACCAGAAGCCTGTAGGATTAGCTGAACTCTTCCCAGAGAAGTTAACGGGGTTTTATTGCCTACCTCGCTAGCCTGCCTGCTCTTCTTGCCAAGTGCTTTTCAAAAAGGGGAAAAAAAAAAAAAAGGTGCCTGCACTCTGCTGCTGTGAAAAGTGTTCTGGCTGAACCCAGGCTGTGCACTGGGCAGGCTGCCAGAGAACAGGGGAGGAAAAAGCTGATACGGAGAAGCCTGTTTGCTTTTGGACCTGGCAGCTCCTGTGCGTGCTTCACACTTGCGTGCTGACATGCTCTGACCCTGACCCGAGTGGCTACAGCTGTTCCCAGCCTGGCTGCGCCGTCGGGCACTGGCGGGCTCCAGATCCTCCCGTGTTGCCTGGTGGAAGCTATTTGCAGAGAAGGGATCAAAGATGTGACTAAAAAAGCCCGACTGGCTTTGGGTAATGGAGGCTGGCTGGGGTGGAAGTCAACTTTTTGCTTCAAAGTAATTGCAGAACATCTTGGCTTTGGCTGGCGGTGCTGAGTGACGCTGCCCAAGGGCTGTGGGTTGTGCTGGCAGTGGGCAGGGGCTGGTGCTGCTGCCTTGGGCTCGCTCGGTGATGCCAAGAGGTATCTTCATTTAACTCTTAGGCTCTGCTGTGGCTCTGTCTGTCAGACATTGCTCGGTGTGTAACAGGGATGCAGGAATTCAGCTCTGAATGACACATCCCCCAAAATGCAGCCTGGGCTCAGAGAGCAGCCGCTGCTGGATGCTTGGGGTCCACTCACTTTTATAGGGATTATTTTTTTTTATTTTAATACATTTCCTCGCAGTGAATCATTTTCTATTTCCCACTCCCTTTTGTGGTCTCCTCTCTCATGTCCAACCCTGACTACTGCAGAGCATGTGTGGCCTGAAATGTGGCTCAGTGGTGTGGGCAGAGCTGGCTGGCCTGGGGACGGGTGGCCTCTGCCTCCCCCCAGCTACATCCATGGTGATGCTCTGTGAGTGGTGCTTAGGGGCTGACTAAGCTGACTCTTTAAGAGTTTGCAGCAATAATCTTTAGATTGTCCAAAGGAATTAAAATTGGAGTTGTTTTTCTTGCATGAAGCTCACTGTTCATGGTACAGCGTGAAGAATTCGAAGCGATAATCCTGGCGGGCGCGAGGAACCCTCACGAAATCGTGGTAGCGACTGAACTGTGGGCACGTGGCAAAGCCTGTGTTGGCAGAGTGGGGTGGTATTGCTTGGAGGTGATGCTGGGAGCAGCCCCCTGAGGCCTTGCAGATGATGAAAATCACCTTGAACCTTGCCAATTTGGGCAAAAGCATTGATCTTACTGCGCAGGGCAGCTGGTGTGAAAAACGGCTGGTGTCTGTGACAACGCG